CCACACAAACACAAACACACACATACACACACACACAAAGTGGTACAAACTTACATATAAAGGGTCACAATAAGCAGCAGTATCACTATGATCCAGACAGGAACCGCCAAACCGAAAACCTCCATCTTCCTCGTTCTCCTGTCGTTCACACTATAGTTTTGTAGGCTTCTCTAGGATAATAATTATATAACCTATTAAAATATAATAAACGTTATATAACGTATTCAAAGATAATAAATTGTCCTATTAAATTAAACTTTGCAGTGTCCACAGTCTTGATTGCTTACACTCACTCACGGTGCAGCCTATCGTATTTTAGATCTAAGTGATGATTTCAATAGAAATAGAAGCGTCATGTAATCTTGGATTAACATCTGTAAAAGAATGAGAAAAAGAAACAGTTATAACATAACAATAATAATATGTGAGGTGTGTTGACAAAATGAGTTACTTTTCGCAGTCTACAAATGGAGATATTGTCCAAAAATTGACACTAGGGTCAAATGTGTAGAATTTCTATTGATGCCATATTCTTAATAACTAAGACATGCCTTTTATTATCTCATCAATTATATACATTGTCAAAACCTCACGATTTATTCGTGATGTATCTATTTCCATAGGAATCTAATCCGGGGAGTAACTTAGTTTGTCAGCACGCTTCACATATATATAACAATACTGTTTTATTGCGATCTTGGACAAATTTGTATGCTGAGCTCATCTTCCTTTGAATCTAAATCTACTGCCGATATTCCTGGAAAAACTTGCACGAGCTCATCTTAATCTAAATTTCTAAATCCTCTGCCGATATTCTTAAGAGGAGCAATGAAATTCTTCAAACAAGATGAATAAAAACAACCGAACCTAAGGAAGCATGCCAGTTTGTCACAGGCCCAGTTTGTCACAGGCCCAGTTTGTCACAGGCCCAGTTTGTCACAGGCCAACCCCTTCTCGACTGTGCTCTGCATGATAGAAGTTATCACTGACACTCTCAAAAATAGTAAATAAATGATTGATTGATTATAGTGTACTTTGCTTTGATTTGCATACAAAAGAAGAAGAAATATTGAACAACACAAGCTGGATTGCCACTTTAGAGGGACTGTCTCTACACCACCAATTTGAAGGAGGAGAATATAATTAAAAAACTTAAGGTACAACGACAGTGTAAAAGTGCTGTAATTATGACTGTCATCGATACTCAAATAAACACTTAAATGGAATTTTGACAAACTGGGTCTGTGACAAACTGGGCAGCCCCGAACCAATTGAGAGAGAGAGAGAGAGAGAGAGAGAGAGAGAGAGAGAGAGAGAGAGAGAGAGAGAGAGAGAGAGAGAGAGAGAGAGAGAGAGAGAGAGAGAGAGGGAATCTCGTACAGTGTAAGATTAGCCAACTAAGCCAACTCGTAGTAGTTTTACTATTTAATTTGGCAGGTCACAACTTCGCCTTTTGGTCCGTTGGATCAAGACTGGTTAACGAGACGCAGAAAATAAAAATGCCTTTTATCAGATCTTTCTGGGATGAATGTGTTGAAAATAAAATGCATTTCTACAAAGGTAATCTAATGAAACGCATTCCTCTTATTTGTTTGTTTGTCTTTAGCTCAAATTCGATTAAATTTGGTTTAGTCATGATGAATGGTAAATGAGATATATATCTTCATATGGGATAGTCACAACATTGCTATTTGTTTAATTAGCAAAAAACACTAAATCGCGATTAAATCTCGAAACCTCGATTTTGTGAAAAAAGCGTTTTATCAGATCACGGCAGAGTAGATATAGATTACTTTCTGTGCTCGGCGTACGAAGAGTTAACAAATAAAGAACCGCGTAGGAGCGTGCATGATAGGGCTAGAGGCTCAGAGAACGTAGAGATGACTGGGCCATCTACTAACGTGCAGGTTAGAGAGGAAACACAGAAAAAGATAACCGGGTTAGATCTTTATAGAGATATCTTGTCCTTCACTTCACCAAAAAGAATCTCGTCTCTGTTTTGGGTCCTACTTCTATTACTGCAACACTCTTCTTCCTCTGTCCTCAGACCTATTATTTACAGGTACAACTGCACCACTGTCTGAGTGCAAAGTTCTAGATCTAGAGGTAAGCCAGTGCAGAGTATTAAAGATGATCTAAGTCCAAGTAAGCACAAACAGAGCGGTCCTTGAAAAGGTCATCTACGTAAACACAACGAGCGGTCCTTGAAAAGAACATCTAGGTAAACAGTGAATGGTAGTCCTTGAAGCTGCATTTTATCACAGCACATGCACGTGCAAGTTTAGTGTCAATTCACGACTGAGTACAGAACACATTATCATTAGCACATACACACTCGCACGCACACACGCATGCACGCATTCACTAACGTGTTGGTCTATCGAGACTAAGCATAGACTGGAGTTTTTCCTTCGACCGAATGCAATCGAATTTCTGCCTGCTGGTGTGTGTGTGTGTGTGTTACGCTTCAGTACAGAGGCCAGGGCTAGGCTAGGTGTGTGTGTGTGTGTGTGGGGGGGGGGGGGGGTCGTGCGTGTGTATGTGTGTGTAGCCTGTGCGCTGTGTAGTGTACTGTGGGAACAAATCTAGGTCACGCCTACGTCCGGCGCGTTTAGGGAGTTAACGATACGGCCTTGAGGGAGTCAAGATAGCTGTACGCGATAGCTGCATGTCTCTTCTTTTAATTTGTTTTAGTAGAGGGTTTTACGGCGTTCGCAACTTAAGGTCATATTATGAGCGCCAAGTGGTTGGTGTCAACAGACAAGTCTTTACAGGGAATCAGATTTAGACTGCTCACCTCTTTAGCTTCAACAGCACAAAGTCTGCTTCGACTATCAAGGCCCGGACATAGCGGGTCACAAATAAGAGAGTGACAAACATACAAAAGAAGAAGAG